AAAAAAAAAAAAACCATAAGGTGAGCATGCACTCTGCATGCACGAGAATTTGGTTATAGTTAGTACCTTTAACTCTTAATGACATAGAACCCCCCAAAAGCACTGTGTTACAGTCATGTGGTCTTCCTTAGCAAGGTCCACATAATAGAAGTTCAAAAATGAAAAGAACTTTGGAAATGGTAGGACCAGACAACTTGAATCTGTTTTCCTTCTGTCCTTGGTCCTAAAGAACAATGACAATGACAAAAAGAACCTGTCTTTTGTCTTACTGTGAGTTTGGTTTTATTGTTAAGTGTGAGAGGAGGATGCAGGACCTCAGCTAGATTGGAATAAAGAAGTTCTTCTCTCAGATAACCCAGGGACCTGGGCAGCGAAGGGCCTTTGTAGGGGCTTTGGCTCCTTCCCCTTCATTTATTTGAGTGAGTATCCCATATGCATGTTAATGTTATCATTCTAGCTGGGAAGTCCCCTGTTTCTAAGCCTCAAATGTTTCAGTCCCCCCCCCCACACACACACATACACACTTAAGCAGGTGTCTTTCCATCTCTCACAAATCAAGGGGGGGGTGTAAAAAGACAATGCTTGGGTGATATATTTTAATAAGTTTACTACCCAGAGTACATTATAGTGAATCATTCTATATTTATTGACAAAACTCAAGTTAATTCATATCCAGTTTTCTTTTATATTCATTTTATTCAAGGGCATACCTTTCATTTTCTGCCCCCCCCCAATGTGCATGTGTGTTCTCTGTGTGTGTGTGTGTGTGTGTGTGTGTGTGTGTGTGTGTGTGTTTCTTGGACACCTCCAACTCTCATTGATAACTTAAATGAGGGACCATATGTGATGAGATAAGTCTGGAGGACATATCCTCTACTGGAATGCTCATGCCTTTCTGATGCAGCTGAAGTCCTAAGACTGAGGTTCATTCTGAATGCTAAGCAGGGTCAACAATGTGAGCCCTATGGGATGGTCCTTATTTATCAAGTGAACTCTGAAGTTGAAAGGTTACATTTGTGAAATTACAGCTGGGTCCCCTAACAGTTAATACTAGCTCCTGCTAACCAAAGACTCTTAATTGAAATACAAATCTGACAATATGATAATGTGTTAATAAAAAGCATGGTTTCTGTACTCTTATGTGTCAAAAGCTGACAGAGAACTTCAAAAGAGGTTGTTTAACCAGACAAAAATAATAAGAGAAAAATATGTTTTCCAACAAGATCATAAAGCTTGAATAGTACAGAGAGGAAAAAAATCCAAGGCCTGTCCTCTGTTCTCCCAGCTCGACTTCCCCCACCCCTGGTGTGTGTCCTCAGCCCTCCTAGGGTGAGGACTGGTATCTTCCAAGTCAGTCCCACACCCTAGATACCAAGACAGGCTAAAGTGGCATCCTAGCATACTTTGAGATCAGGCAGCTTCTGCATTTGAGAGTGTGTGGGGGCTGGGGGTGGGAGGGAAAACCCAGCATACCGATGTTGTGGAAGCTGCAAACAACAGCGTATACACAGACACAAAAAAAGTTTGCATATTGCACAGAGCGCTTGAAGATCATAAATCTATGCATGAGAAAGATGTAGTGGAAATTTTTGGGGGGATTAGAGTTTATTTTTGTCATCTCTGTGAGACAGCTACTCATTCATCCAGATCACAGCTAAGAAAAAAGCTGGTCACAGAAATTAGCAGTTTCAGCTCAGCAGCGAAGTCGCCAGCCTGTGAAGGCAGAGAGAAATTGACTAATTAGCAATGCGCACTAAAACTTGACGGTTCTTTATAGAGAGAAGAGAAGAGAGAGGGAGAGAGAGGGAGAGGGAGGGAGGGGGGGCTCGCTTTTTCCCCTTCTTTCTTCCAAAGATGTTTGAAATCGCAGTCATTTACGCTCGACAATTTTTACAATAGCCTTGAGCCATAATTTTGCGAGTCTCTCCAGCATCCATCCCCCTGTATGGTCTCTCTCTACTGGCCAAGCACGACCATTTCTCTCCCCAACCGTGGATTTCCTATTACTCTCGTTACGACTCACTGAGCCCCAGGCCCAAGGATAATGATGTGTTGTTTCTTGGTAGCATAATTTGTCACACGTACATTTTTTCTTCTTCTTCTCTTGCAGAAAGCTCTGCTCCCTCTCTCTCTCTCCCTCTCTCTCCTCTCTCTCTCCCTCTCTCTTTCTCTCTTTTCTCCCTCTCCTCCTATATTTTCTTGCTGTTGCTAATTCATGGTGATCAAATGATGTACGACAAAATAAATTGTACAGAGTGACTGCCTGGAGTTGGGAGCCAGAAGGTGTATTCCCCTCCCAAGGAGAGAGCAAACCTTTAAAAAGGAAGGACAATTGATTTTGGGGGGAGCTTAAGTGAGCCCTGACTTTGCAGCTGGCTGACAGCAGGTAAGTTTCTGGCCTTGGGTCTACCTTGCCTGTATTTTCCTTGTCTTTTGGGTTGTTGTGGGGTGGGGGGAGACTTATGGGGGGGGTTGTGGCAAACGCTTATAAAGAATAAAACTCCCATTGCAAGAAATAAGCAGATGGGGGGGTGGAAGCAAAGGAGGAGAAGAAGAAGGAAAAAGACTAGGAAAAGATGGGGGGGGGGCGAGACAACGAAGCGGGGCGAGCTGGAGGGAGGTATGACCAGGGCCACTTCCAGGGAGGACTCAAGTGTTTCCCCCGCCAGCCCGAGCTTTGGGGGAGGGGGCTGCTGCCGGGGGGAGGGAGGTTAGGGTCCACCTGGAACAGGATGGGAAAGTGAGTGCAGAGGAGCCGAGTCTGGTTGGAACGAGAAGCCGGCGATCCAGAAGCGGCGCCGGGCAAGGCAGAGTGAGCCGCAGCGGAAGGGGCAGGTCCGGCGGGTCCCTCGGAGCCGGGCGGCGGCGGCGGCGGCGGCGGCGGTGGTCCCGGCGGGCGCGCGGCGGGACGCGGGCAGAGGGTCCCTTCCCGTTCAGCCCTGAAAGGTGCAATTACACATTAAGGACTCGGCGTGTGGATTTCACCTGGCCTCCCCCTCCCCGGCCTCCTAGCACCTAGAAGCGGGCGGCTCAGACTTTTTACAGAAGTACTTCCAGGGCTGGGGGAGTGGGGGTGCCCGAGTGGGGGACCTCTGGAGCTGAACCCCGGGGGTCGCGGGGATGCTGTGCCTACCCAAAATCCTTTTGGGTGCGGAGCAGAGACCCCCCGCACCGGACCGCGCCCCCACCCCACCCCCACTCCACGGCCGCCACCCCTCCCCCAACACCTGCCTTCTAACTTGAACTTCTCGTAGTTCCTCCAGTTAAAGCGACTGCTCCCGGTGCTCGAGAGGGAGACCGGTCCACACCAATCCCTCCTGGCCTCTAGTCTCCTGCTCTAAATCCTGCCTGGCACCCCAACTTGCCCCCCCAGTCATCCCCGGTGCCGCCCCGCACTGGAAGGGGAACTAGATGTCTGAACTTCCGTGCTCTGAAATAGCAAAGGTGCAGGGAGAAGGGGGTCAGGGGTAGGAGGGTGGGTGGTGTGGGTGGAAGGATTCTCTGGCCAGGTTTAAAGGCGTCTCTGGAAAATTAGCAAAACGGGGTGGCGGCGAGGGAAACCAACAGTTTGCGAAGCGGGGAAGCGGGCAGGGCCGGGCTGAGCGAAATGAGCTAGAATTGATAAGGACAGCTCCCGCCTCTGCCGAGTCCACTGAGCGGGTCCCCATCGCGCTCCGCTGCACTTCCCCGGGAGAAGAAAGGGCTTTATCTCCTCCCTCAGACTGTGAGCCTAGGACTTTTTCGGGGCAGCGCGGATAATCGAAGGTGTCCCCAGCTTTCAGAGAGCTAAGAATCGCCCACTCGCACGCCTGTGTTACCCCCCTTTTCCCACCCCACCCCCAAACTGGGCCAACTAAGAAAAGCAAAGCTTCCAGCACCAGTTGACCTGGAACCGCCGCCGTCGGTCGCTTCTGAGCTCCCGGGGCACCCCCTGACTCCCCACTCCCGGCCTTTCCCTTCATCCAGCCGGGCATGGACAAGAGCCCACGAGGTGTCACGGCCTCAGCCTCCACTTTTGCCGCCGCTGCTGTCACCGCTGTCTCTGCCAAGAGAGGAGCCTGGGTGCTTTTAGGAAAGTGAGGGGTGAAGTGTGTAAGAGGTAGCAGGGAGCAGAACCGGCGTCCCGACCCCAGACCAGGACCCTTCAGGAGGCGCTCAGGAACCCGCGCCTTCACACCTTCCTCTTAGGGTCGGGTCCTGAGCGCACAGAGAGGGAGCCAAGCGGGGCTTTGATTGTTGTTCCTCTCTCCCCTCCACACCCTTCCCCACCCCGGCCACACCCCACCCCCTACACCACCCTACTCCCCCTCCCATCCCCCACCCCTGTCTGCCAGGTTGGAGGAGGGTTTAAAGCCAGGTGCGCCGAGTCAGCTCGCCATGTCCAGATCCGGGGACAGGACCTCCACCTTCGACCCCAGCCACAGTGACAACCTGCTGCACGGCCTCAACCTGCTGTGGAGGAAGCAGCTATTTTGCGACGTGACCCTGACGGCCCAGGGCCAACAGTTCCACTGCCACAAGGCCGTGCTGGCCTCCTGCTCGCAGTACTTCCGATCACTCTTCTCCAGCCACCCCCCTCTCGGGGGAGGGGTCGGCGGCCAGGACGGCCTGGGGGCCCCCAAGGACCAGCAGCAGCAGCAGCAGCAGCAGCAGCAGCAGCCTCCACAGCAGCAGCAGCCACCGCCACAGGAGGAGCCCGGGACTCCTTCCTCCTCCCCCGACGACAAGCTGCTGACCAGTCCCCGAGCCATCAACAACCTCGTGCTGCAGGGCTGCTCGTCCATCGGGCTGCGCCTAGTGCTCGAATACCTCTACACGGCCAACGTGACCCTCTCCCTGGACACCGTGGAGGAGGTGCTGTCGGTCAGCAAGATCCTGCATATCCCTCAGGTCACCAAGCTCTGCGTTCAGTTCCTCAACGACCAGATCTCGGTGCAGAACTACAAGCAGGTGTGCAAGATCGCCGCCCTGCACGGCCTGGAGGAGACCAAGAAGCTGGCCAACAAGTACCTGGTGGAGGATGTGCTGTTGCTTAACTTCGAGGAGATGCGTGCCCTGCTGGACTCGCTGCCGCCCCCCGTGGAGTCGGAGCTGGCACTTTTCCAGATGTCCGTGCTGTGGCTGGAGCACGACCGCGAGACCCGCATGCAGTACGCGCCTGACCTCATGAAGCGCCTCCGCTTCGCGCTCATCCCCGCCCCGGAGCTGGTAGAGCGGGTCCAGTCCGTGGATTTCATGCGCACCGACCCGGTCTGCCAGAAGCTGCTGCTGGACGCCATGAACTACCACCTGATGCCCTTCAGACAGCACTGCAGGCAGAGCCTGGCCAGCAGGTAGGAGACAACAAAGAGGAAGGAGGGGTGGGATTGGGGGGTGGGGGAGAGCTGGAGAGGCCGGAGGGAGGGGACGGGGCAGAGAGGAGGGGAGAACTGGGTGGGCTGGGCCGGAGGCTCCTGCACACTGAAAAAACCATCTCAAACAATTCAGCTGGTGTGAGGAAAGTTGATTTTAGAGTGTCAGAATGGACAACAGGAACCTGGCCTAACAGCATCCCTGAGCGCTTGAATGCCCAGGTTCCCAAATCTTCAGGTCAGGAGACCTTGAAGGTTGCAGACTGGGGTTGAAGCTGAGCAAGTAGGTGGGGCCCAAAGGCCTGGGCAGTTCAGAAGAGCAGCTCTGGACACATTGGCCAGTCAGGTCTCATTGCACTTCAAGGTGGACTTGCTCAAGGAGAGGGAGCCTGTCGTGACGACCTTTCTCTTTCCTGCTTTGGGCCAGCAGGAACTCCCAGGCAGTGCCAGCCAAAGAGAGAGAACTTCACAGTGTTTCTGCCATGCACTCAAGTTTTTATTGTTTGTTTTGGCTCTGTCTGTGACTGGGGTCTGCTCTCTGCGTAGCCGGGAACTCCCAAAAGGCTTTGTCCATTCCTGTTGTTGGTTGCAACGCTAGGCATCCTGTGGCCAAGCAAACTTTTCTATCCTGCGGAAAGCTCTCCCTCTTCACTTTTTGAAGGAGAGCAAAGCTAACCATTTCAGGATGGTGGGGTGAGCCTTGCCTGCTAACTCTTGATCCCAAGAAGAGGGGATTGACAGCTGGTGGTTGAGAAGGGCTGGGAGCAGAGTCCTGCACCTCCAGTTGATCTGTGTGCCTAGCGGGAGTCACAGAGAAGTTAGGGAACTGTTGATGCTGTCTGCCCTTGCCATTTAGAAAGTGTCTGTCTGTGCCGCAAACAGCATTTCATGTCCAAAGAGAGAGAAATGATGCTTTTGGAAGGTGCCGCAGATGCAAAGACTGCAGAAACTGGCAATCATGTTTGATTGGCTCCCATTTAAAAACCCTTCTAAAGGAGCCCTAGCAAAGGGCTCCTTTCTGGTTTTGGAGAAGAGCACGCTATCCCCTGCTTTTCATGATTAGGCATCCGGATTTCTGATGCCAGGCCACCGAGACCAGTGTAAACCTTCAAGTAGTACATAACAAAAGGGCATGGCTTGACAATCTGCCAAGCCATAGTCCCATACAGATAGATGCCTGGGGCATGGGGAGCACTCTGGGCAACCTTAGGAGAGTAGATGTTTGGATTCTTTTTTCATGATGTTTCTACCAGTCTGAGGAAAAAGAAATTTAAAGGAACACAGCCTATTAACTACAGTTGTCTGGGCAGCGCTACTGTTAAGTTCAGGGCGACCGGAGGGATGAGAAATCCTGAACTTGTAACAAATCCTGTAGATTGACTTTTTGAATAGCTGTGGGAGACGAGTTTGTGTACCATGGTGTCAAAAGATGTCTATACCAGAAGCAGCAATACAAACCCCCCTTACGTCAACAATGAGCACACAAGTCCAAGTCAGAACAAAATAGAAAATGGGTTTTCTTATGTGTGTTTCATATGTCTAAAGATCAAAATGACGAGCTCACTGTGATGGGCAGATGTTGCCATGCCAAAGGGTATTGTCGAGTAACAATCCAAAGGGTATTGGTAACAGTCCACTGTGTTACATTTTTCATTTCTGACTGATCTATCACTATATTCATTTAGCACACACCCTACATGGTCAAGAATTCAGATCATATAGTTAAACTCTTGAGACTGCTTTTTACATTTAAAAAAACATAATTTAGAATAAATTTAGGATAAACCAGAAACCTAAAGGGGATAATAAATTTAAATTTGAACTTGTCCTAAGAGTAATTTGGGCAAGTAAGATTTGTACATTAGATCTAGTAAATAATTTCTGGCATGCTCAATGCACTGTTATATGTAAATATGTCCTAGGATTCAATGTCAGGGGAGTTCACATTCAAAATGCAAAACCTTAGTCAAACCCCTACCTTAGTCTGGAATCAGCACACCAGCTGGGCCCTGCTGGCTCTGTCCTGGTGGATGGCTAAGATACCAGGCTGCCCGGCTCCGTGACAGCACCTCCCAGCTTCACTGGGCCACATCATTTGAAGGCTATGTAGTGGTGTCTGACCACTGAATGCTTACAAGTGTCACGGATGCTGCAGGAATCTGATACTTCTGCAGTAGGAGGAAAACTGTATTTTCCCTTAAAAGAGGAAAATAGAAAAGAAAATAGTTTACCAAACCTATTGGCAATCTCAGTAATATAATTTCAACTCCATTCCATTATTAGTAGCTGTAGCATTTTCCATTTTAGGGACCAATCACATTATTCTAATTTGCATTCACAGAAGAACGAAGAATTTTAACTTGAGTGTAGACAGAAGTGTTCTAGGTTAAAACCCTTTAGTACTAAATGGGCCCTGTGTTATAGCCAGTATGATAGAAAACTGTTTTCTCAGCCTTGTGCGGAGGTCAACAGGAGGTTAGATATGTCACCGTATTGTTTTTGAGATCACATCACTTTCATTGAAGACAGCTGAACAGAAGGGCATTTTATTTATTACTTTCCTTCTACCTGTAATTTTTAGATCTCAAATATGAAGACACATCTCAAATTTAGAGAGGGTAAAGGGGAATGAAAACTGACCAGTTGATCAGAATGAATATAAAATACAAGCCAATAAAGTAGGTGAAAGAATTCACATGTTGAAATTATATGTTGTGTCTGTAGAAAGTAAAGATTTTAATATAATAAAATAAAACATGACTTTAAAGATGACTAAATAATTCTGAATTTGTATTATCTGGAAAAATGAGCAGCCAAGGAAGACTTTACAGAAAAAACTGGAATCAATTTTACATTTTTCTCTAGTTGCTCAATTTTTCTGAGTATGTCATTTGAACTCAGGTTCATATTCTGTTTTAATAAAGTAAGCATTAGTTCAATAAAAGAAATAAGAAGCTTGCGACCCCATCTTCAAGTAATTAGTAATTTAAAATGACAAGACTTGACAAAGGCTATGAAATTGTAGACACAAGAAATAAGTCCTAGTGGTTTATTGCTGAGCAGAGTGAGTGCAGTTAATAATGACATATTGCTAAGTTAGGTTAGACACCGTAACAGTCTTATAAAAAGGTGAGAGGTAGTCAGGTAATAAACACATTACATAGCTTAACTTAATCTTTGGACATTATATACGTATATCAAAATATCAAATTATACCTCAAGATACACATCTTTCTTATTTTTATCAGGGTTTTTTCTTTTAATTTTTGAAGGTGACAGGACTTGGATACCCATAAAACATTTTAAGTCTGATGTCTTGACTGTTTTCTTTGGGTTTATTAAGAGATGAGAATGTCTCTCTTCATTTGAAGGAAAGTATGAATTAAGCTCCGGGAAAGTTGCTAGGGAAGTCACTACTGAAGTCTTCTAAAGCTCGAACATTCCCTGGGATGAAGTTAGAGCTGAAGAGAGGCTGGGGAAGATGTGGAGACTAGTGGAGCATACATCAGTTACAGGTCCGCGTACAATACAGAAGGCCTAGATTCGCTTAAGTCACCAAAAGTTTCTTTTTTCTTTGTAGTTTTTAATTTTAATGCACAATTTAGTAATGACCTCAGATTGGACTGGAGTAGTTAACGTTTGTCCACATTTTTATTGCAGCTTCCACAATCTAAGCCAAATGAGTGTTTTGCTTTTTGACATTTGAACAAACTAAGATTATGAAATAAGAAAGGAGGTGTGTCCCACTTCATCAGTGTGTCAGTCAGGCTATAGTTACCGCAGACACCACACAGACAGCAACTGTAGTGAAAACAGGCATGAAGATAATGATGCAGCTAATGTATTGTCCTTTAGACAGCGCATACTGAAGAGTATCTTCAAGCAATTCTGTTACATAAAAGACAGAAAGCAACCATATAAAGCCTTTACTTTCCACCTATCATGGTCTATTTAAAGATTTAGATTTAGAGTCCTAAGTATCTTTTTTTTTTTTTTTTTTCTGGAGCTGAGAGCCGAACCCAGGGCCTTGCACTTGCTAAGCAAGCGCTCTACCACTGAGCTAAATCCCCAACCCCATGAGTTCTAAGTATCAATTCCCAAAATGTCTTACAATGCTGGAAAGCAGTGGCATTAGCTAATATGCAAGTGTGGTTCCTGGCCTGGATACCCACACGCTGACTGCAGGACAGTGGCTTTATTGGCTCTCTTCCTAAGGACAGAGTGACAGCCTCAGCAAAGCAACCAATCTGCATTCTCTAAATCGTTGTTTCCGTTTATGCCAATTTGATACCCCCAGATTAGAAGTCGTTAGGTAGTTAGATTTTGTATCAGAAGTTACTCAACCATTTACAATACAATTTGTTTATTATCTGAAACAGAGGCATTGATTACAAAATTATATCACAGGTATGAGAGGCCAACAGTTCGTTCCTACAATCCAAAGGCAATTAGAGTACATACTGATGTGTTTGTTTTCTACACATAGATGACTTGCTGACAAAAATGGACATCTTCAAATTTTATTTCATGCTTGGATTTCTTCCTGTGTACAAGCACATTGAGATTCACTCATTTACTTGGCTAATTTATTAAGTATCTGAAATTTCTTAACAGAAAAACAAAGTTAAAATTGTATTGCCATAGTTAAGTGTGATGCCTCATGCCTATAGTCAAACACTTAGGAGGTAGAGGCAGGAGGATGGTAAATTTAAGGCCAGCTAGAGCTATAGAGCAATACCTCATCCCAAAATAAATGCATAAATGCATAATAAATAAATAAATAAATAAATAAATAAATAAACTGTAGCTACTTATACCATGTGCTGTTCTAAACACTTCACAAACATTAGCTTTTATTTTCTCATCATTAGCCTGATTTTTGATACCCAGAGACCTTAAGCCTGAATGCCAGGCTTGCACAGTGAGGTCAGGCAGCGTGGCAGCTGAGTCTGTTTTCTTCCATACACTGTGCACTTCTTACT